GGACAATTGTAGTTTAACACATGTAGTTGGTGATGACAGGCCGACACTTGTAGTTTATCAGATGCAGTTTGTGATTCCAGGCCGACACTTGTTGTTTATCACATGCAAATGATGTTACACATTTTCCATGATTTATCAAACCCTTAACGTTAAAGCGCATTCTGATTGGTTTGTCGTGTTTTCAAACATTACATTCATGGATAGAGGGTTCATGGTGAAGAATGTGATTACTGTCGTTGCCGAGATTACTGATTGATATTCGAAGGACATAGCTCTTGTACGCATAAACCTATGTTTAAGGGACTTGTTATTTCAAATAATACCACAGTTTAGGGGATATCTTGTAGTCTGAACTTTTTCCACTTCATAGATGATACATAACATATCCCCCAAAGAAGTGATAAAAATAACGTTTCGTGGTAACAAAGCTAAATTCTCCAAGTGAGTTAGATTTCAGTGTCAAAGATTGCAAACTGCCAAAGTCGTCCGTACTCCCCGATGGAACAGGATAAGATGGATTTATAGTGAGTGAGTGCGTTTAGTTTTATGCCCCATTCAGCAATATTTCAGCTATATGGCGGCGGTCTGTAAATAATCGACTCTGGACCAGACAATCCAGTGATCAACATCACGAGCGTCAATCTACAAAATTGAGGTACAATAACATGTGTCGACCAAGTCAGTGAGCCTGAAAGAGGCGCCGACTATCATGGGTTACTGAAGATCAGTTCTAACCCGTATCTTCACGGTCAGATGGATTAATATCACTCATGAGAAGGTTCTATTTGCACTGGTTATTAACCAATCACAAGTCTCCTAATGTATCTAAAGGGAAATATAAACATATACTGCTAACAAAAAGGATATTTCAATGTCGCTGTTCTGTTGGGACGGATTTACAATACCATGGCCTTTCTCCAGCAGAACAGGGCGGGCTTGTCAATACTTTTCATAAAATTAGGCCAAAGATACGCAAACCATAAGTTGTTCGAATTCCACGATATTTGCAAGAAGCGTGACATACGCCAGAGTAAATGACTTTTCACTTTAAAAGGCCAAACAAACAGATGCTTATCATTACCACTCAACCCAATCTTAAGACTATAATGACACATTGAGAGCTTCTGTCTGGTACCTCGAAGCGTGACGTTCTCGTTAATTCAACGTCCACAGAAACATCAGTTGGCGCTCGCGGCGACGTTTTCAGCCGTTAAGGATCCCACGTCAAAGGGATCTACGGTCTTCGTGTAAGACGTCAGCCCGACTGTCAATTCTGACTCTAGGACATCGACGTCAGCGTCGCCAGTGGAGCAGAAAACACTTGTGATGGGGAGTCCGTGAGAGGAGAAGAGTCAGGTGTCATAGTTAATTTTGTTTCCATGACCATATCCCCTCATTTGCAACCCACTAAACACGCCTGGGGTGAAATGGAACGTCGTGTACAACGTCATCTGAATCCTAATACAACGATGCAGGAACTCCGACAAATCCATTCTCAGGTATGAAGGTGTGAATATGCTCGTTACCCCCCTTTTTGTGTTGTGGCTCATTTGTATATGTCAGGTGCGCTGTTCGGTTTACTCTCATTCTGCCTACATCTGATTCTGCCTACAGACATAATAAAAGTGTAGGCAGAATGAGAAAAATCAGGCCACCCCTAATTTAGAAATGAACTTGCCCATGACAATAACATAACACAATATTCATTGTATTCATATTTTATTTATAGTAGATAACATGAAATATATAAAATATAGACTTTTTATACCCGACGTGTATACCATTATTACCAGACATGTATACAATTATTGTAATTGTAATGCCATCATCATCAGCATCACCATCATCACCATCAATTTCAATTTCAAGAGATGACCAGAGGTATCTAAAAACTGAAGCTTTGTCCTTCGACCTTGATGAAAGACTTCCTTAAGTCTCTGCAAACGAGAATCAAGTTCCCGATATACTCGTTTTCTCCCATTCGGTTTACCATCATGTTCCAGTTGGATTTTCTTCTTTCTGTCCGTTGATTCAATGACCTTCAACCTGCTGATAAACTCGAACAGGTTTGGGTGGGACTTGCAAAGGGACCTGATCAGTCTAGAGTGCCAGCCCTCTAGGTGATTGTTGGTGCGTGGTTCGGCGTTATCAAATTGATTCCACATGGACTTGTGGAACAAGGCATCATCATCCACCCAGGTACTCGTGACGTAGTCGCAGAAGTCGTGCACAAGGGGGGAAGTCGGGTCTCTCGTCGAGTGTTTCAATCCAGGCATCCTGAACCCGATCTAGAGGGAGCAGTGGCAAACAGGCAGCGCTTCCGACTACAGTTTGGACAGCAGGATCCTCTCTGTACTGTCGAACCAAACCTATGGTTTGGATCTTGCGCAGGATACACTGACTATAGTGAAAGAGACATTCTCGTAGATGAGAGTTGGGGAAGACAGTCTCGAGTGCCTGAATGGCAGGAAGCTCAAAGTCGGTCTGGATGGTAGATGGATCTAAATCGGCACCTGTTACAGTATGGACAGCATTCTTCAGTTGCTGGAACAGCCTGATGTAGGTCAGTCTTTGTCTTATTAGGCATTAGGGCAAACGCAACAGGGAACAAGGTGGAACCAGAGAGACAGTGAACAGCATACAGCTGGTTCCAAAGGCTGGGACAGGAATGGAATGTACCACCCATGAATAGGGTGTCGGCACTCTGCATAGTCTCCATCATGTCTTCTGTGGAGAACACCAGGATTCTGTCGTCGACAGCATCGTCTATGGTCTTCTATACCCACTGGTCTTCTATGCACACATCAGCCAGGGTCTGCAGAAGTGGATTATTTCGGCGGTGTCGGTAGAGACCAGCATTAATGCCAGCAAAGGAGGGTGTTGTGGCAGCTTCATCGACGGTCAAGGTTCCCATCTCATCTTCGAAGATCTGTTGAATAGAGTACTCGGATCTTTTATAACGCCATGAAATTGTGGCGATGAGTTTCGGAAAAACTCATCAACAGGCTTTATCTTTCCACGGCAGTTGGTAAAGACACACTTCCAGTGAGTCACAGTCTGTCTGCGGTTGTTCTGGCGATACCTAAACCCTTCATAAAGGACTTGCTGACATCCAGCTTAGGAAGTGACAAACTCAACATTCTGTAAACCAGCCATATGCAGCAATGGTTGGTATAACTAAACTCAGTTTATATACCATGTCAGGGTTGTAGGTAAGGTTTAGAAGAGCAACCATCCTGTTCAGAATGAATTTTTTTGTGAGCAATCACCAAACTAAGAAGTTTGAGAGAATCGCTTTTTTAATGGATGATAACAATGGACTACTTTTTGAACGCCCCTCATGTATACTACCCCAAATCATCTGAAATTACTGATCTCAGTTTACTATCTCCAACACTCACCAACAACCGATATTATTACGATTTGCAAAATCTGTCTACTCACTATGTACATAAGGACTGACTGATTAGTTTGGTTTTACGCCGCTTTTAGCAATATTATTCCAGCATACCCATGGGATTCGAAGGCTGACGAGCCAAGAACAACTATGTTCAACATTGTATTTTATTCATCTCGCAATTATTTAAAATGAATTATTAAAACTCTTTATGGCAATAACAGCACCTTGTTATTTGTAAGGCAATGTGAAGTTTAATCTCACATTGTATACTCGGGTCATTCTCACTTACTCAAACTCAAACTCTGTATTCTCTAGAAACCGCCATCGGCGTACAGCAGAAGAGATAAACGTATATACATTTACATAATATACAAAAACAGCAGCTTACACGATAGCAAGATATAAGATAGCACCAATATTATATTTTTAAATGCATTAAATATATGATTCATAGTAATTTAGAAAGGCCTTTAAAAGGTCGCTTATACTGGTAGTAGACAAAAGTTTCTTAAGACGGACAAATTTGGAAATTCTAGGTATTTAGTGTTCAGAGACGATGTCGCAGTTGGAAAAACTTCACATCTAAACAAGTAGTGAAACTCGTCTCCAACAGCGTTTGGATACTAACAAAGTGGACATTGTCGGTCTTACGTGGAACGCTTAACCATCGGCCAGTCTCAATTGTTATTTAATGGTTAGATGTTCTAAACATCAAAACTGGGTAGATATATATATTTTTTAACACCGGTTCGAATGAGAGAAGACATGTTTTGGGGCTAGAGATCAATATTAATTGACTGTTGAAAGTGAAATGTTACATTAAAACATCATGAATCCTCCGTAAAATATACAATGGAAAAACAAGTAAAGTATTTTTAAAACACTGGAATGGAGGTGGGTGCGTGCGTACGCTCGGCTTGCAGGGTCTGTACGCTCAGCGTACGTGAGGAATGACACCTGACAAAAAAAACCCGCGCAGGGCATGCTTCCTTAGCATTGTTCGGTAGGTCCGGGCGCCGCCGGAGATTACCGAGTTAAATCAAATCATCTCTGTTTTATTACCTACGTGGGCGAACATATCGGGGTTCATATTTTTCATGCTTTATGCCCTAGGGCAAAATATCACTTTGTCATGGTGACGTGACGTCATGAACAATGTTATGACGTCACGTTTCATCTGTGACGTTGCGTTCTTAATGCGGTGGACAGCCTATGTTTGAACCGCCTCCGTGGTGTAGTGGTTAGAGCGTCCGCCGGAGGAGCGGAAAGGTAGCCGGTTTGATCCCCGACCGCGTCATACCAAAGACGTTAAAATATGGTAACTTGTTGGTCCCCGGCCTGCGCGCTCGGCATTAATGGAATTGCAACTGCGAGATTAGTCAGTTCGGTGACGGTATAATGTGTCTGAGTGGGGTATTCTTTCATGTTTCACTGCGTATGGTATCCTCAATGGCTGCTATATAAAACCAGCTTATGTCACGGGCTAATTACACAACAGCCGCACATACACATACGCATGCACGACGTCGTACGCTTCGGAAATATTCCTAAGCAGCGACGTTAAGCCAATTTCACGTCCTCACCCTATAAGCCGTAAAAGTTAGGTTATTTTCTTCAATTTGACGACTTTGGTAATACAGAGAATATTATAGTCGTGCCCATGTCATACGCTATGTTTACGACGCTCGTGCCTAAATATCGGTAATACCAACATTTAGGCACTCGTAATCGTCAAACATAGTATGACTATCAAACCCTCATATCTATCTCTATTGAACGCACTTAACACTGGTTAAATGAGAAGACAAGTGCAGTTGAGGTGAAGTCAATTTTAATTGACCTGGTAAAACGTGACATGTTACATTAAAAACACCATGAATCCTCCAAACCCCCCAACACTGTATTATTTGTGATATTTCTGATGCTGCTAGAACGATGCTTTGGGGAACTTTCTATGAATGTCACTTTTGATGCAGATGCTTAGCGTTCGAAGGCGGTAGTAGACTTCCAGTGTTCATGCGTTAATCAACACTGGAGGCATTGTGGAAGGCGAATTTACATCCTCCCGCCTGAAAGAATGACCAATGTATGACTTTGGGTCATAGCCACAAGAGACGAGCATACGCTAGGAGCTTTTATGTAGAAGCTATCGTACGTTAAGCACTGAATTTGGTCGTTGACTCTATAAGAGAACAGGTGGCATCGGCCGGTATACCTGTCTGTAACTTCTGGAGAGTTACAAAGCGCCAACACCGGACAAAAGTGGTGAACTTGGTGCGTCACAAAGTCGGTTTTGTTGATTTACTGAAGAAAGTGAAAAATGCTGTCCCTTTACCCGCTGGAACTCCTTTTGAGCATAGTGACGACCAGTCCAACACAGGGTGTTGGCGCCTGCTTCGAGATGAATAAGCCTGACTATATTGAGGCATCCTGGGATACTGGTAGAAACACAGACCTTGCTAAACGCACAGTACCGGGAGACCAGGAGCCTACTTGCCGGGACTGGGGTGAGCCCGTAGTACAAGCAGAATCCAGAATTTACCACTTCAACATGGTCGAGTAGGTTTTTCTTGGTGGTCGCGGCACATGCTGACTGCTTGTATCTGCCGGCCTCCAGGTCAAGCTGCTGCAGGTCTGAGTTCACTGGGCGTATTGAAAGGCTACCAAAGTATTTGCAGACATGATGGAGGGGCCACGCACTAAAATATTCATACAACCACTGCATATTAGATCTAAAGGCCAGGCGTGAGGAGCATCGCTTCTATCAGGTTTCTTCTCTCCAGGAATATGTCTCGCTGTTATGTAAAGCCGAGGGTAGCGGACAGCCAGAACATTCTGCGAATGATATCCATGCTTTTATCATTACGACAAGTGTCCTTATTGATACTGTACATTGTCGAAGTATTGTCAGTGTTCACCACAATATGTTTGCTTCTGCCATCGCCACGCCCACCTTTCCGCCGCCACGCCCACTGCTGCTGGCTCTCTATATTTAGCATGTGTTCTGGATGCAATGTCGGATTTTATCACAATTCCAAGACACATAAAACCAATCGCTTTCGAAATGTCCGCCGCCGCCAATTTCGCATGCGTCTGTTGAAGGTGTGATAGCATACCGTAGGTTCTACCTTCGATGATATAGGTAATACCATTGGAAAGTCTCGCAGGGGTGCGACCACCATTTTCATGTCGACTTTTGCCGCCGCATTTAACACTATTTGTGTTTAACCGAATTGCATAAGTCAATGATGCGTCCGTGCGCTCTGCTTGCAAGTGAGGAAGACCATGACGCCTGACAAAAGAACCCGTGCGGGGCATGCTTCCTTAGCATTATTGTTCGGCAGGTCCGGGCGCCGCCGGAGATTACCGAGTTGAATCCAAATAAATATATTTGTTTAAGTTCGGAAGGAGAAGAATATATTTTTACCTAAGATTGGTTGGGTTTTGAAAATATTTATAATAATCCCCGCGGGACGTGAATCAACATTAGATTTCAATTTTGGAAAAAATTGCACCCGATATTGGGACAAAGCCAGAGACGCATATATATATAGAAGCTAATTCTCACCCGTTGTGTTAGAAGATACCTTCATATAATGAGCATGTTTTACCAAAATGGTTAATAACACTACGCCAAGTTACCTTAGTAACCTTGTTCCGCCTAGAGTGTCAGATGTTGTTGGTTATAATCTGGTGATTCAAATCTTCAGACTATAAACTGTAAATCTGTAAGAGGTATGCGAGGTCGCCTTTCTTCCAGATACTGTTAAATTGAATTCATTACCAGCTGAACATAGAGAATCCCCATGCCTATCGAGATTCAAAAACGTAATTTTAAACGATTCTAACATCTACAGCCCATTGACATACATTTCTGGTAGCAGATTTTCACAAATCATATTCTCTCGTCTCCGACTTGGAAAGTAGTGACCTTAATACTTTCAAATATGAAGATTTATATCTCCAGCATTATCTTGCTCTTTTTGGCCACAACTATGAAGACTCTGCTCATTATTTCTTTTCATGTACACTGTACAGAGATTCTAATTGGATCTAAAACTTTTCTCAAAGGATGTAAACATTATTTGCTAGGTGATGGTATACTAACTAGAGTGAATGTCACTGCTGTGTAAACTCAACATGGGTTCAGTGTCAACTGATCATAGCTTTACTAATGCCGCTCACAGCTTAACGAACTCTATTGTAGTAGAATAGTATCAGGTGTAGTGCAGTTTAGATGAGTGTCCAAAATGCTGTGTAATAGTCCGGTCATGCATCAGCTAGGGGTACAAATATGTGATGTAGATAAGGAGTTAGACGGTCGCGCCTGAATTGACAGGGTTCGCCAGCGCGGGAGAGCCGAGCCAAGGGTAAGGGGTCTATAAATGAGTTGTTCATGTGCACCAACCCGGAAAGAACGAAGCAACTACCCATCATGACTAAGGATAGGGCAACTCCCTTCCGCATGTACATGGAGTATGGTAATCTATGTCAAAACCAGGAAGAAGCCTCGTAGAAATACTTCATGATCATGGCAGGAGCATTTCGTTTGACAGGAAGTGCCGGAGATACCAGCCCGCTTGGAGATGCTTACAGTTAGCAAATTATAATAACAGTGGATATTTGTAAGCGCCGAGTGTCCACCCACTCATGCATGCTCATGGCGCATTAAAACTATTTACAGAAGAACGGAAAATGTCATTATAGGCTTCGAGTAAAAGAAGGAATGTCTTTAGGGGCCTTCTTAAAAGAGTTCAGGGTCGGGGCGAGTTTGATTTGGAGCGGTAGAGAGTTCCATAAGAGAGTCGCGACATGCTGAAAACTCCTCTTTCCAAAATAGGTGAGCCGGGCTTGAGGTACCTTGAGGAGCTGTTTATCCTGGGAACGTAGAGAGTTCTGGAGAGAGCACATACTGGGTTAGGAGAGATGAGAGATAATGTAGGGGCAAGGTTGTTGAGACACTTAAAGATGTACACAGAACTTTGACCCCAACTCGGTATTGAACAGGAAGCCAGCAAAGAATTTATCACAAGGGTTATAACGATCATATTTTAAAATTTCAAAGATATAATTCTAGCGGCTGTATTCTTTCACTTTCTCGAGTTTTTTCATGTTCTTTGGATATTCCAGTGAGAAGGTTATTGCATTAGTTTAGGCGGGAAGACACAAGGCATCTGACCAGGATATGTGCGTTCTCTTTGATGTGTTTCGGATGGTACCAGTTGAACGAATGTGAACGTAGCATGTCTTACACAGATGATCCACTTGTGCAGAGATGGAAAGGTCCGACTGTGGCTGTATAAGAGATGCTGGCTTGTCGTGATGGGGAGATACAGGCAGAAGCAATCATCACTCGGCTCAACAACTACCTTGTCGATGTGCTGTTGTCTTCCGACCAATGATACCTCTGTTTTGTCGTCATTTAACTTTAGTTTTCTTTCGGTCATCCATGACTTAATTTCAAGTACAGTTTTCAGTTTGTTGTAGGGTGTCAGAAATTGATTCAGTGTTAAATCTTTTCTTCAGTTGAACATCATCTGCATGAAAATAGGAGTCCCAAACTTGTCAGTTATGGTTTTGAGACGTTGGTTTCTACGTATAAGTAGAAACAACACAGGTCCCAACACTCGAACCTTGTGGGACTCCACGAGAGCACTGTCTTATCCAAAACCCTCCGTTTAGATATACGCAAGACTGCCGCCCTGACATGGAGATAAAGATGCAAACCAAAGAGAAGCACTGTTTCACTGATACTAAACTTGATGCTGTAAAAATATCAACCGTCCAAACGCTAAACGACTGAGATCTAAAAGAGTCAGCGTTGCCATTCGCCAGAATCCACTAGACACCTGAGATCATTAACAACTCTCAGGAGCAGATCCTCTATTAAATGTTGCGGACGATAAGCAGACTGATAGTCATCAAGGATGTGTCGCGGAGGTTGATGTGTGCTTTCTCCACAAGTTTTGAAGAAAAGTCAAGTTTGAAACGGGCCTTACTGAAAATTTCATCATCCTGAGGATATGGATGGTCTCTGCCCAGAGGGTGAGCCATCTGGTGTTCACTCTATGAAAGAAAGCACTGCGTCTTCACCAGAGCCAGACACCACATGCTCAGAAGACATTCCCTATTAAGGAGTCAGAAAGTCTCTCAGGTCCTGCAACTTGGGAAACCCTTCGAGGAAGTAGATTTGTTTTCAATAGATTGCACAAGATGTAGCTCATCCCAGCTCTGCGGACGTGTTCACACTCGCGCAGAAGGGGTAACGTACTGAAACGCTGAAAGATTGGAGAGGATATTCAGCGTCATTCGTGGCGTAGGCGGCGACTGTGTCGAGATAGAAGCTAACTCACCGATGGGCTAATAAATGATGACAGTGTCTTCAATCTTTCACAGATTTTAGTATTGTGTGCGACAAAGTATTACGCTTCCCGCAAGCTGGATAATGATGAAACAAATACTTTCGAAATTTCCCCAGATTGGGACACCAATTGAACCGCTGAGATGATATTTCTGGCGTATTGTTCGGCCTCTGCTCTTCGACGAACGGTGGCACAACGTAAGAGGCTGCCAGATAAACCGCAGGCAGAACGCCATCCATATCTCGAGACAATTTCGGCCAGGCCGACTTTTCGCTGGAGAAGCATCAGCTGCGACATCGCTGATCTTATCAAAGATCGCATAAACATTCAATGCGCTTCGCTCCTG